TTCTTAGAGTCTTATTTTCTGTTTTCGCTTTCGCATTTCGGATCCGTTACTGGATCATCCTTTTGGTTCATCACTGACGCACTGGCCTAAAAACCAAGGACGTCACAGGTCTAATACAGTTGTGCGTGAATTAGTATTTTATTCCAATTTGGGAAGTTATTGAGCATAATTGATATAGAAATTCCTTGGTAAGCAGAATGTGAATTCTTGTCCAATACACATTCTTGTCCAACAAGGAATTAATGTAAAGACTCTATAAATAGATATGAGTATGAGAGATTAAGATAGAGAAAGATATATATATATATATATAATTGTAGAAAAAAAATATGAGTTGAGTTTGTGAGGAGACAAAGAGTGTGTAATCAAGTTTTGACGTAAATATAGTCATTCTTCGCCAGTGGACATAGGCAATTTGCCAAATCACGTAAATAAGAGATAGGTACCATTCATTTTCTAGGGATGCCTCTTTCATCGTTCATCTTATCCATGCTCTATTTTATTTTCATTTATTTGGTCAAACCAAATATTATTCTTAATTGTAAAGAGCTTCACAAAGTGTGCACAAAATTTCTACAATGTTATTGGTTGTAGAGATTAAATAATTATGTGTATTGTAGAGGTGTTTTGTTAAAGTATCAAACTTAATTTCTGTGCTGATAGCAAAATAATACCCTAAAGAATGTGAATCTAATAAGATCATTGGCCTCTCAGGCCAATCAGTAATTGACACCTAGAAATAACCTACAATTCACCTAGGGGCTTGGGATGCCTTAGTGGTGTCGGCACTTGAACATGCGAAAACGGCTCGGACACGTGTTGGTTAGAAGTATCTTGAAATTTAAATATTTTATTTTTTCTTGCACATGACGTTACGTTTTGGACATTTTTCAGATACATCGGGATGGTTTTGTAATTATTTTATTTATAGAAAAATAAGATTCAATGCAATTTAAAATATATTATAGGCTAATTAGTAAAATAATATAAAATTTTTAAAAACAAAAACAACAAACATATATAGCTATAATCTCCAAATTAGTGATTTTATTCATGACTGTACTGAAAAAAATGAATAAATATTATTATTATATATATATAATAATATATTTTTTAAAAAAAATTTGACGTATTCATGCCATATTCGATATCTTATTTCTTTTCATATCGTATCATACTCTTGTTTTATGTTAGTATTTATGCTTTCTAGATTAACATATAAATAAATAGAAATTTTATTTAATTTTATTTACGTATTAACTAATAATTGACCACCAGATCATATTATAAAATTTTCAAAACTAGACAATACTTTGGTCCAATTCAAGTTGATGATGGTTAGGACATTTTAGGTCCACGATTTTAAAATGTATTATAAATCAAAACCAGCTAGTTGACAATCATAACCATCAACTCCCATTAAAAAAAAAAAAAAAAAAAAAAAAAAACAGATTTGTTTTTCTCTTCTTCCTTTTAAAATAGAGTAAATTGCAAGAAACCCCCTTCAACTATGATCTTATGAGCAAATAACCCCCTTAAAGACCCCCCCCCCCCCCCCCCCCCCCCCCCAAAAAACTTACCGATTTGGTTGCAACTTGCCCAGCCACCGCTCCCCCCCCCCCCCAAAAAACTTACTGATTTGGTGGCAACTTGCCCAATCTGGCCACCGGCATATTCTTTCTGACCATTAAATGGCGTGTGTTTGTCACATGAGTACCATATTTTAATTAAATGACCATTAAACCCTTGATGATACTCCCTCTAAACCCTACAACAGCCTCCATGGCAGCCACCATCTCCATCATGAAAGTAACCACTTCCTCTCTTTTCTTTTCTTTTCTTTTTTTGTTGTTTTTACCTTTATCCGTAATCCACCTCTAACTCGGGCGAGCAATCCATAATCCATCTCTTTTCCAATTTTTTTTTGTTGTCATGGACGATTAATCCACTAGATAGAATTTTTTTTTTGGTGCTAGATTTGATTGTTTCTTTCATGGAGTTTGTGTTGGAATAGGGAAATCAGGGTTTTAATTCCATCTTAAGACAAAATTATTGCACTAATTAGCATGAACACATGAAGAGGGGGTGGGGGTCATGGTTGTGTGTTAAATATGTGGAAGAACACAAATTTGTTAATTTGATTTTCCATGAGAACTCTAATCTCCAATGATGTTTTTGGATGCTAAATGAATACTTATTATTAGAGTATTAATAAATAATTGTTATAAAGTTGGACGACAAAGCCTCTGTTGATTGGGATTTGTGTGTGTGTATATATATATATATATATATATATCGTGTTCAGTAAAACAAGAAATTGTGGGCAAAGGGGCAAAAGAGATGATCACTGTGAGAGGACTTCAAGAAAATCAAAGATAAAAATCACAAACCCGCTAATAGCTTGAGCAACAAAACTATGCTTCAATTAATGATCAAATTTATAGAGTGAGAATCATATATTGTGGGCTGCTTGATATATCAGAATATACAGAGAGCTTGAGGGACTCGACAAAGAGATTCAACAACCAAACCAACCAGAGTGCATCAACGATCAACCATCCGGCAAAATTCTCTGGCGTACTTTTCTAGTTATATCATCTTGGGACAGAGATTCTAGGTCCGGCGAGAAGCTTTTGACCATCACCGACCGAACCCAAAAGCTTATGACCATCAGTGTATCACCGACCAAATCGGCAAGTCAGACAAGGTTTTAGAGACCATTACCGGTGAGCTTCCGTTTTAATGAGTTTCACCGAAACTGAAGCTCATCGAAACTGAAGCTCAGTTCCGGTGTGTTCATTGATCTGAAGAAGAAAAGATAGCCGTACATGGTTGTGGGTTGATTGTTAAACATGGTTGAATGGAACGAAGGTGAGGTGGTTTGGCTTAAAGGTGCTAAGATTGTCGATGAAGTTGGTTGCTGATGTGTCGACTTCTAAGAGGGCTTCATACTACAATTCTCCATGTCATTGGGTAAGTTTTATAACACTGAAACAACGCCTAAAAGGAGGCCATTTTATTTGAGGGTATGAATGTCTTTTAACAATTCCAGTGAGGGTAGTTGTCCGGAGATGTTATTTCTGTCCTTAAATTACACAAATTCAATAATTTAAGGGTGTTTTTTATAATTTAAGAGAGTTATTTGCACATAATTCATAATTAAGAAAAATTTATTGCACTTTACCTTTTAAAATATTGAATACTATTAACTTCACTTTTGGTCTCGGAAGGATCTTTTCTGATATTTCAAAATATCTATCGGTTCCAATAAATTAATCTCCAAACCTCAGATATTTTCACCCGCTAAAAACTTCATTCCTACCTGCTCAAGTACATAAATGTCTTGTACTCGCCCTATCACAGGCATGGTCCACCGCATGAGAGGCACTTTATCGAACTTTTTGTTAGCCATTAGTACTTTACTTTATAAGAAATAAATGTCATAAAATTGACAAATATATATATATTTTCTTGTTTTTCTTTTTTTTCCTATTCAAAGGTGACGATGGAGGGGATCTCTCTCTCTTTCGGTATCTCATGAAAAAGGCTTTCTTACATTTTTTATATTTTTATATTTTTTTATTTATACCATCAATTAATTATATCATGTCATATAAATACAAATACTTTATGTTAACGTGTCCTATCAGTTAAAGATACAAAGTCACTAATACAACTGGCGTAATTAAATTTTTTTCCTCTCACACACACACACACACAAGCTCATTTAATTGAAAGCATTTATTAAGAATAAGACCTCAAATATTCCCACCCTATAATCCTATGTTTGAATCCCTTAAACTCTTCTAAATACTTGCTCTTCTTACAAGGTCAAAATAAAAAAATAAAATAAAATTGATTTCATGTCTCTAATTCAATTACTAAAACAAAAAACTTTACCTTTAAAATTAAATAATGTTTTTAATTATTAAAAAAACAAAGAGTTCACATGAATGATAACAACTTTTGTAATTCAAGATTTCACATAAAAAGTCCACATGCAACGAATATGTTGATTACAATAAAGTCTTCTGAAAATATCTAATTTATTTCTGGTAGGGATATTTACACTCAGAAGGTTGGTGGGGCCCATATGTAGCAGGGGTTCTGTTTCGCTATTTTGGAAGACCAACTCTTTTTTACAAAAATGATTCATACATTACAAAATATCTAATATGTTTTCAACTACTCAACTAAAAACTTTTGAGAAAAAATATATACACTCCAATTTTATACTCTTGCATTTTAATATAAAATTAAAATAACAAAATTACTTCTTAAATAACAGTGCATTTTTCTTTATTTTAAGAAATTTTGTAATATGTCAATAAAAAATGATTTTTAAAGTGATACTTTGACTCAATAATCTAACCAAATCATTTATAATTTTTTAGAATTTATTTTATAATATTTAACGATATTAATTAATTAAGTTAAATTATTCGACCCGATAATCAAATCTTAGTATCATTACTCTACGTCAATCTATCATTTAGATTTGTAAACAACTTTCGTGTTGCCAAAACTTTTTTTTCATAGAAATTATTATTTAGTAATCTAATTGTTTTATGGGGATGTGTGCCGACTTTATGATAATATTAATTATGAGACTAACATCAACAGCCACATATGTCACATCCTTGCATATGCATCTCAAACATTAAATAAAAACACAAAAAAAATGACAAATAAAACTTACGATTTCTACTTTACTTAAATAACTTTTGATATGTGTAAACTATTACACTGTAATCGTAACTTTTGGATATTTCCTTTGTTGCCTCTTGAATCTAAATAAATAGTATAAAAAAAAAAATATCTAAAGAAAAAAAAAATTATATATATATATATAATTACAAATAGTCCCATTCAAACTTTTATCTGTCTAAGGCTAGACACGTGTCAGCTAGCTAAAGCGAGTACATTTCTTGCCATACTCTCATCAAAAAAATATCTGCACCTTGGTTCAAAATGTTGGCAAGCGATAGATGATGCCCAAGACCCATCCCGAGGCGTATTCTATAAAAACCCGTAAGCGCCCAAACTGCTTTAGACACCGCAATTACATTCCAACCTCGACCCCAGCCGGTTTCGACACGCAAAGCGACGGCGGCTCATAGTTTTCCGGCGACCCAGAAGCGGTTTTCCGATGCCGATGGACACCAACAAAGCAAACGATCAAAGCGGGCTCTGGACGAATGAGAGGCACCTCAAATTCTTGAACTCAATGGAAGCTTCCTTCGTCCGAACCATGTTTGAAAATAACGGTCGTCCTCTCCGACTCGACCGTTACATGCCGGACAGTTCCGAGTCCACCCTTGATTTGAAAAAGGAACGACCGAGGAGACATTCTACCTCAGGTATAATCAATCTCTCTCTCTGTGTGTGTATATATATATATATATAGTTTGTTAATGGGGATTCCCTATGATGCGCTAGTTGGTGATCTGAGGCAATATAATGGTGGTTAAAGGCTGCAACCGGCGCATGTTAGCTCCGGTGGCACCTTATTGCTAGGGTGTACATGTGGTTAATGGGGATTGCCTATCATGCGATGCGACGGGCTGCGACCGGCGCAAGCTAGCTCCGGTGGCACCTGGTTGCTAAGGTGTTTAATTCGTGTGGGGGTTTGTAAGGACGTGTTTGGATGCTCGTTAAATGGTTGAACCGTTGAAGCTGAAAATTTTGACTTTGAGTCTTAAAAAGGGTTTCAATGGTAGTAAACTTTCGTGTGTGGCGTGTGAGGAGGTGCGTTTTTGACCAGCGGTCCAAACGCTGCCTTAAGAATATTTAAAATGTGGAAAATATGCTTCGAAGATATTTTATAGCACATTAAATTCACTTTTCACTTTTTTACGTTTTTTTTTTTTAGGATCATATATGGTGATATTGATTTAGCTTTAAATTTGGGTTTATTGTAATAGATATTAGAGAATCAAGAGCAAGGACTGACAAGAAATCGAGAAAGCGCGCATCACAGCCGTACACGTCAGATCAGGTGAGTCACGTAAATATCAAAGACCTCACACACACTATTGTGAATCTGTGATCATATATGTGTTTGTATCACACAATTAACTAATTCTCCACCTTAAGATCATAATCAAATCCATCAGATATATTATAAATAAATAAATAAATAATTGTAATATGTAAATATATGTATTGATCATCGTATAGGTCTAAAAGATGAGTGATTTTGTTTAATATTTTACACTTCTATATATAATAAATTTGATTAGAAAAACTCGTAAAATATGAAAAAATTATATTATGACAAGTCTTACTAAAAAGTGTGCATTATATACTATTCACCACCATGTAATAATGTTACTTATTTAGAAGAGAATAAATTATTTTTAACAACTAAAAAAATATAAAATTGTTATCGGACAATTATAAAAAAAAATATATATATATATATATACATTTGTTCAACTATCAATCAATATTTCAAAAAATTGAATTCAGCCCTTAGTAATTAATCTTTAGCTTCATGTTAATTTTGTTTAGGGTAGTGGGCGATAAATACAAATATGGTACATGATCTCTTACAGGTTCTTAAAAGCCCCGCATCTTTGTTTTTGGTGCGAACCATAACAACAAAAACGTGGTACACGGAATGACTATAAACACTTTATCAAAGTAGAGTGGACGTGTAATAGGACCAAAAAGCTTATATGTGCTTTGGTGGGATGTTGGTAACGGTCTGTTACGCTATATATCATTGTTGTAACGGTTACAATGAATAACTCTTTTTTAGCAAATAAGGGTACGTTGTTGGTGGAGCTATTAAAAGACTGAAGCGCCTTTATGTATTTGAAAGAGAAAAAAGTGTAAAACAAAATAAATGTACTGTAACAAAAAACGAGATGGTGTGTTTATATGTAAATTGGTGTAAGTGTATTTTGGGGGACTAAAAAGACAATTTAAGAATTTTGTTACTTAAATATAAGCTTGTGCAATAAACATTGCTATTTAAATATGATTTTCTCACATATTATACGAATTAAGTACTTATGTACCAAATTTTTAAAATTCAACGGACTTGTATACTTAACGGGCTTATATAAACTTAACCGAAGTATATACTAATTTACATTAATTGGGATTTTTTGAGATCTGTCCTCTAAATGCACGAAATAATGAATTTAATTTATTTTCAAATAAAAAATTTAGGTAAAGATAAACAAGGATCAAAAGCAAAGACAAAAGGAAGTAACAAAATCAATCGATTGCCTCTTACAAGTCACAGCCAAAAGGGTAGTCCTTAAAATAAGAACCAAAGGCCTCTCCCATGATGTGATGTCATATCTAGAATTACTGTTGTACATTGAAATGGAAATGAAAGCTTCATGAAAATATCTAATGCTTTTTAGATCAAAAATAGAAACATGGCCCTACCATGTCATGCCCCATCACACATTAATCAGGCGGCTGTTAAATGCCCTGACATTAAACACTACATCTGCCTAACTAACCAGTGTCCCTTTTCCTTTACCAACCACATACAGTTACTCTCCTTTTTATATTCTATTTATATATATATATATATAATATATCTAATCTTCATTATTTTACGTAAGTGAAAATATCATCGTAATAACGTCAGAGTCAGTTCTCATTTGTATACAAATATTTAGATTATTAGTCTGATTAGGGCAGACCCGGAGAGGTCTAATATTTTCTACGGCCTTAGGTGACCGCCTGGGTCACTTAGCCCCAGGCCTGCCCTGAGTCCGATTGTTTGGCTGTTGTACTCGATCTGTATATATGTATGTTGATTTATCTTTATATTAGGACTTGTAATCTTATATGTGTGTGTAATGTGTGTCCTCACAGGTTGTCCCACAGCTTGGAAAAATAGGAGTTGCGAAGGAAGAGAGAGACCACCATGATATCAAGGTCGAGCCAACCACATAGAAAGATTCTTCCTTCTAGCAAGAATTTAGAAGGGTTTTCTTTTCTTTTCTTTTCCTTTCCTTCCTTTTCTTTTCCATTTGGTGGTAGTTAGCACTTCAATTGTAGTTGTGATTTTTAGTGGTAGGAGACATCAGTAGTGACTTGTGAAAGGTGTACTAGATATGAGCAAATTAGAATGCTGAATTGACTGGGTACCTTTCAAATTGCAATAATGCATTCTGGTGTTTTAAAACAGATTTTTTTAATGGCTCTAAATTGTATCCAAGTATGGGTTTTGTTGATGGTTTGGTACTCTTTTTTCATCAATTGCTTAGTTTCTTTATTATTCAGTGACCTCACTAGGTGATGAGATGGACAAATTGGAGCACTAAATTCATGGCTTAGATTAGGAATGGGAAAATTTTAATTAAAATTTGAACTAATTTTTTTGTAATTTTAAATTCAATGCGTTAATTCGGTTCTCTCAAATGTAATATCTCAATATTTTACAATTACACAGGACAATTCCAGTAGGATGATTTTAAGTGTAAGATTGAGGGACATGTCCTTTATATATGACAATTGTGGGTGAAGGAAAGATAGAAATATACATATATATATATATATATATATATATATATATATATGTATATGTGTGTGTGGGGGGGTTAAAGTCTATAAAAAAGAAAAATAAAAACCCTTTATTTACATAATGTGTAAAGAAAAAAAAGTGTTGGAAAAAAAAAAAACAACACTATACATTTTTTAAAGGGGAAAGTGCAAAAAACATCCTGAAGTATACATTTCATAGCACTTTTACCCCATATTTAAAAACGTGTGCAAAAAATACCCCTATTCTTTTTAATTTGTGCGAAAACACCCCTTAATTAATATAATGCCTATTTTACCTTTTTACTCTTCCAAAAATGCCCTTAAACTCATTCTCTCTTTTCTAACCTTTTTTCTTTCTCCAAAGGAGTTGCCGACACACCGATGAGAACAAAGGATGGTTCAGCGGGTTGGCAAGGTGATACATCGGGGCTCTTACATTGGACTTGCAACACATTTGGATTATGGAAAACCCAAAGGAAGAATCAACTGAATGAGTCTGAAAAGAACCTAAACGAAAATAAAGAGGCAAAACTGATAATGTAAATTCTTAAATGTTAAGTCCTCCATTTTTTTTTCCCCTGTACTCATGCTTAGAAATCAAAATTGCATGAGCTGTGTATGGCAGCACATTTGCAATATAATTCACAACCAATGCTTATAAGGTACTGTTATTTGAGCTGCATTGATGACCTGTTTGATTGTGCGTTCAAATCTAGAGAGAGAGACAGTGGCTTGCGGTGTATGGATGAAAATACTTCTATGCGTGTGAACACACTAGCAGGTCCAGCCTACGCAATAGAAAATAGTTTTATTACATTTAAACAAAATATAAATTTATGTTATTAATTTGCTATTACATGATATGATGGACCATGCTTTTACATCAACTTTGACTAATAAATTCAATTTGCTAATAAATTCAGTTTGAAAAAATTACTCGTATGAGGAGATAATACGTATCTCTCATTTTTTTTTTTTTTTTGAAATTTCATGAACTAATGAAATTTTCGGCGATGGGTTGAGAACTGAAATTTCCGGTCTGATGCAGGAATAAATTTCGGCCTGAATTTTCGGCTGTTGCGGGAATAAATTTCATGGCCAGTAATGCTTGGCTTGCTTCTTTATTCAGGCCTGATGCGGAAATAAATATCCGACTTGATGCTGAAATTTTCGGCGTGAACTGCAGCGGTGACTCACCGAGGCCGACGACAAGGATGGTGGCGAGAACGGGCTCTCCCCGTTTCTCTTACCCTCCCGCTTTTCTGACTTCTCTGATTCCGACCATTGCCTTTCCTATTCCCAAATTCTAAAAAAAAAAAAAAAAAAAAAAAAAAATTCCCACTCTGTAACTACCAATCTTACAACTACCGACATAAAGAAGCAAGCCAAGCATTACCTTTCTCGGGCTCTACCCCTCTGCTGGATGAAGCCCCTTCTCCACCGTAGGCCCTCTATTTACTTTCAGTGTGATACCGCCATCACTCCCTTAAAGAGTTAACGCCGGAACAAACTCTCGATGGACGTCCTGGGTTAGCACCAAGATGATGAAGAAGAAGAAGGGTCAAACCCTTTTTAGTCATTTCACAATATATATATATATATAAAATGTGTTGCTAAAGGCATTTTAGTCCAATTTTTATAAATAGGACCTATTTGCACAAATGTCATAGTTTAGGGGTGTTTTTTGCACGGGAGGGGTGCAATATGCACTGTAAACATACTATAAGAGTGTTTTTTGCACTTGACCCTTTTTTAATTTGAGCAAGGAAGAATATTTTCTCAAATTTGAAGACGGAAATACTTAGAATGCCCTTAAAACAAAATACTAAGAAAATAAAAATACACTTATATTTATAAATTTTATCAAGGGTATTTTGGTGTTTTTATAAATAAAAAAAATTAGTCAAAATTGACTATCAGAGAGCAATTTGCCAAAAAATTTAAATGTTAGGAATTTATATGCACATAGTAAATAGTATGGATATTTTTTACACATTTTTTATATAATCGGAATGTTTTTGCATTTTACCTATATATATAGGTAAAATGCACCCTCAATTGGGTTTTGATACCAATTATATATATATATATATATATATGAACATCCTTAAAGTATGCTTAAAATGCATATCACACCACTCGTGTTCAAAAAACACACCTAAAGTTTCAATTTGGTGTAAATAGACCCCTCTAACAAATTTAAACCATAAGTTTACTAAATTACTCTTACTGAATTATTTTATAAAATATATAAAAATAAATAAATTTATAAAATGACCAAAAAGGACATTATTAGAGGATGCCCCTCACATGCAAAAAATACCCCTAAAGTTTCAATTTGGTGCAAATATATCCCTCTGACAAATTTAAACCCTAAGTTGATTAAATTACCCTTAGTGAATCATTTTATAAAATAAATAAAAATATATAATTTTGTAATGTGCACATAACATCCTTATACTATGAGATTAGCAGCATATATACTTCCATGGGCATTTTCGGAAGAATAAAAGAGTAAAACATGTATTACAATACTAATTTATGCCAGAGTGATATTTTTGCATAATGTAAAAAGATTATGGGTATTTTTTACACATTTTTTCAAATAAAAAATAAAAGTGTTAACACGAAATATACTCTAAGAGTGTTTTATGCATTTGTCATATATATATATATATATATGTATGCCATGGTTCGATGTATCGACCAATGTCGGCCAGTTCGTAACTCTTTTTTAAATATTCAATACTATTACACATTTTTATAAATTGACTAATTTACATTAATATTAATTTGAGTACGTTACACCACAATCGCAATCAACACATGCTTAAAGCAAAAAGACACAAAGTGGAAAATGACCTCACAACTGAGAGAAATGAGGCCAAACTATATATGTTTAAAGTAGGTAATTTTTGATATATGAGGAGTCAAGGGACAAAAAGTACGATATTTTATGTTTTTTCATGTACTTAGCTTAGAAGTCTATTACTACATTGAGGCCACAATTTCTCAACCTAGGTGTTTGGTCTATGTGGCTTAATTTGGTATCGGAAGAAGTTGTCATGATTAATTAGCTTTAACAGTGATTTGTGTGATATTTTAAATTGAGTGGCCAAGAAGATAAGATTTTAGATCTTTTGTAACTAGTGATTTGATATTTGTACATTATGTTTGTAAAATAGTAGTAAATGTCTAGGATCAAATAGCTAGCTAAGAAGTCACATCATGTGCCAAATTTCACAGTTCTGATTAATTAGGGTACTTAATACTATCACTTTTTCTTTTCTTTTTTTCCTCAGGCTACCTAATCTTTTGATCTACTAGATGCTATATATATAATATATATATATATAGAGAGAGAGAGAGAGAGAGAGAGAGAGTGAGTGTCAATTGGGGAGACTCGTGATATTTTCCAAAGAACTAGTCCATGTTCTATCTTTTTAGTGTCGAATTTAGGACTTTTGATAAAAAAAAAAATTTAAACTTTTATTTCTGTTCGTTTGTTTGGACCTAAATTTTTTTTTTAAAAAAATCACAATATGGTTAAACGTTTACACGGTAAGGATAAATAAGTCTTATAAAATTTTTACTAGGATAAATAAGTCTTACTTTTGAATTTTGTTTTTAAATAAGTTCAAATTCGAACTTGTGAACCTGAACCTCTTTATCACTATTGCCCTTACTACTAAATACTTAATCGGACATAATTCACTCTATGAATTTCCTCAATCTCTCTCTAAATTAAATTTCTCAACCTTGGTGATCGGCCATGGCGACTTCAGCGGTTGCTGCTGTTGTCTTGTTGGGCTTTCTCTCACTCTCTCTGTGTTTTGAATTCGATGTGTTAATTTTCTACAGTTTCGATCTGGAATGATCGCATTAATAGTTGCTTCACAGTTGTTTACATTCTCAAATCATATTGAAATACTTCTTTTTCTTCTTGTATTTTTCTGCTAGGAATATTATCTTCGAAAATTCAAAACCTCTTCTTGTCTTTTTCTGCTTGGAACAATATCTTCAAAAATTCAAACAATATGCGTGTGTGTGTGTACATACACACACATATATATAGATATATATACACAGACGCAGATAAATGTGAAGCTTATAAATGGTGCATAGAGTGGGACAAAAAAAAAAGCATGTCACATTCGGGAATGCTGTCCAATTCAACTATATTGGATAGAGTGGGACAGGGAAGAAGAATGTGAGGTATTGTTGCATTTGTAATCCTGGGACTGTTCAATAATGTGGACTTCAATAATAGGATTCATTATTATTCAAAAATAAATAAATAAATAAAACCTATTTGTTCTTCCATTCCATTCCTAAGTCCCACCACTCTTGAATTCTTTATAAAAAAATCAGCAAGACTTTAATACAATGGTTTCCACTTATAATCCGCAAAAAACATCTTTTTATTTGATTGGAGGAAAAAGAAATAAATGAGATTATAATTTAAAAACATTTATAATGTCATTACTTTTCTTCCTTCATATCTTTCCTCCAACTTTCCTCCATATTTGGAAGGAAGAAAATTTGTGAAAAAAACTTTACTCATTCATTCTCTTTTCTCTTCTCTCCTTGCCACCTCTCTACCAAACGAATGAAGTTTGTTTCCTTCCTTCCTGTCTTCGCTCTTACCCCCTTTTCATTCCTTTCCACCAAACAGAGCATTAACTTTCCAAAGTACGTCAAGGATTCGAATTCTGCAACAACTGTTGTGTGTACTCTTTTGCCAAGGAAAAAATTTAAAACATCTTTGAGAAAAGCTCCAGATAGATAATCTAACATACAAACAGAAAATTTTAACCCTCCCCAAAATGCAGGAAGCCCAGCACGGAAGAATGCATGACCGTGCTCGATATTATAATTTAGAATTGTGATACAGAGTCCGACTCTCATCTCAGACTAATCCGACTGCATCTATGTGAGTGGAACCAGACCATATTATACAACAATAGAAATAGATTAATCGGTTACCAAGAAGAGAACCAGCAGTTGGGAAAAGCAAGCCCTCTATCGAATCTTCAATGCTCTCTAATTACAAGAAAAATATCAAGTTGTCGTTATCAAAGAAAATGAAGCAAACGTACAAACAAAAAGGAGTGGTTCTTTCACACACAGGCACACACAACAGAGAGATTTGTTAGAAAAGGCACCGACTGTTGAAAATGCCTATTTAGAAGTTAGGAATCATGTTTTAGCAGTAGCAGTAATTATGTAATGAAAAATGTCGCGAAAATTATTACTTTTAGAGTATGCGTTTTGACAGCTTCTAAGCACCATTTGCTGGAGGTGTAAAAGATTGTTGATGCACATTTGTACCACCTACACGATCTGTATCTTTCACACCAGTGGTCAATGACGACAAGCCAGACCTCCTCCCATTCTTTTTGTGATCACCCTCGTCATCGTCAGATGCATCTTCAAGAAAGGAACCCTTTTGTTGGAGCTCTTTCACTTTCCGGAACTCATCGTAATGAGCTCGCCTGTGCTCCCTAAAACTCAGACCGTTCTTCTCTGCTTCAGAATCTGATCAAATTTACGATGGAATTGCCTAGTGTGTTAATAAAATCACAGTACAAAAATAGTAAAAATAATACCACCTTCAGCAGAATTTCAAAAAAACTGTGTAAGACACTATACTAGTCAAATAATATCACATTCAGTAGACTTACGCAAACATTGTATGACACCTCATTGGGGGATTTATTTTATTTTTTCTTTTTTAATAATGGTGTGAAGGAATTATAGTAAATAACCCAGGTGATAATATTCCTAGGAACAACGTCTTATGATTCAGAGCAACATATATAAAAACCATCCAATTTCCTACCCTATATGACACTTGGCAAAATGATTCAGAGAAACATATTTATAAATCATCCAATTTCCTACCCCTATATGGCACTTGGCAAACTAATCTCTTCTAACTCGTCATCCACTGTTTCTATAAAATCAACCATTACAAGCTTTCACTTTGTATGAAGTATGATCAAGAACAACATATATAAGAATCATTTAATTTCCGACCCCAGATCCCTTCCGCAAAGGTAAAAATGGAAAGTGACTTCAACCAATCGCCTCAATTTTGTCCACAATTGTTCCCATTAAAGTGAGCATTTCTTAAACATTGAACTTAATTAATTGTTTGATGGAAATTGCAAATCCCCCAGAAGAGAGAGCTAATAAATGAGAAAACACAGAGAGAAAATAGTGGCAGAGGGGAGGGGAAGAATGGATCATAAACATAACTAAGCAGCAAAAAAATTATAAAAAACCTTCATCATCTTGATCCATGATATCTGACTCATCCTCTGAGGATGTCCAACCAGAGCGTCGAGAACTAGAAGAAGCCACATCATTCAAAGCAGAACGTATTGCGTCTGCATGAATGGTGTCACCAACACAACCATCGAAACTACCCCGTATAGGAGACAGAGATCCTACAACAACAATGAAATCAGCCGATATTGATAAATAAAATACAATTATAAAAATAAAAGCTGATGTACCAGGCATTTCCCAAAAAAAAATGGTACAATTCCCAATATAAAAGCTGACCCCAGAAAGCAAATTTGGTCCTTATTTATCATTTTTATATCTAGTGCATTTGTAATCTTAAAGCATAAACATCACGGCTTTTCTCACTACATATTTGGAGTCCTGGGTGGGGAAGCTTGGTGGGATAGCGCGTCATTACCCTTTTTCTTCTTCCTCCCTTATTTGCAGAACGATATGTAAATAAATGTCTAGTACATTAAAATACATTTACATAGCCCATTACTTTTTTTATATCTATGAATAGTAGGCGCAGATATTATACAATCTTTTAAAATCAATTCAAGGAATCTTGATTGCATAATATTTACAAATGCTCATATATATCGTCCTCTTCGACTTTGTCTACTCTAGATTTGATACATTTCATATATATTTCCACTTGTTTGAGTTTATCTATTTATATCATCTTCTTGCCTTGATTTTCTAAAACTCCTTTTTGCCTTTGTCTACTTCTCCTTTGATGTATTTCACATATATTTTTTTATCACATAAACTTTATAAAATATTTAATGCTGCTATCAGAATGTACTAAAAGGCAAGAGCACATTATTTTATAAAGGACAAGAGCAATTGAAACACAAATATAAGGATTCAAAATTAAGAAAACCTGAAGAACCCTACTTTTTTTTGGTAGGTAAATCACACATACCCTCCTTTGGGGACTTGAACCTTCAACAATCCAAATGGAAGGGGAAAAGGCAATCACTATGGGCAATGAAAACCCGTGAAGTTCATAAAAGTGGAGCAACAATTCTCCACTCAATAAAGCAATCAAGGCATTAGGAAATTTGAGAAAACAGACTATCATTTCCATTCTCTCCACCCCACCCCCCCGGCGGGCGCGAACTGGAGAACATAGGTAGTGCCTTCAATTTAGTTTTCATCAGCTGCTCTTCAACTAGTTGTCATCTTCTTTTTCCCTATAGAGGCCATCAATTTAGTGGCAAACAAACGACAATTTTTGACCGTTACCATTTTTTATGAAATTTTTTTGATATCAACATAAATTCTACGTCTTAAGAGACTTGTCCGCCCTTCCTTTAGACTGTTCTGATGCTGCATAATAGGATCATTTGGTCCTTTTGAAAATTTTGTTTAAATATATGAAATCCTATACTATCAACTCTACTATCCCCACAATGAAAATAGGGCATGAAACAGCGATATAATCGCATGTTTTCAAACCTGTATTGCCGTGTCTCTCCATCAACATGTGGCTGGCCTAGACAGAGCCGCCCCCAATTTATAGGCTTGCATTCACAGCAGGCAGTATAGAAACACAAAGCATGGAACAGGCTTGAAAACAAGAATAATATTGAGTCTTTAATGGACACAACTCTGTGTGCCTGATGTCTCTCTCTCTCTCCACACACTCAATCAAATGCACCATGTCCGGATATCATAACCTTATTTTGCTTCCCCTTCCACCTTGCAAACAATAATAATATTGAGTCTTTAATGGTCACAACTCCCCATCCACACACTCAAATCAAATGCTCCATGTCCAGATATTATATCCTTATTTTGCTTCCCCTTCCCCCTTCTTTCGCTCTTTTTGGGTTTAACAAAAAAAGTCGGAATATTAGATGAACTTTATAAACTTTTCATGTTTCTAGGGAATAAGAGCATATTCCTCTTGACAATCATGAGAAACTCTCTAGGAGCCTTTCAGTATAGTATGAAGCATATTATATCGATTTGTATGACCCCAGCACGTATATGCAATCTAGATAATTCCCATGCAACCCTAGTTGTGTCACTGCCACTCATAGTTCTAACATTACATCAAAGTATAATAAGATTTGTAGTAACGATGTATAGACTGAATTTTGATGATTCTTGTTCTCATGTTTCAGGTGATACTTGCATTTTCCGGTTAGGAATTTTGCACTCTCTAAAGTTACACTAAAGCCAAGGGTGTAAGGGTTTCATCCAAGGAGAAGTGTTCTTTGGCAAGGAAATACGCAGTTGAATCTACACTAGGAAGCATGAAAAATCCTAAAAGGTCAAAGAATCCATGTCGGACATGGGGCAACACGCGTCAGAGACGCCAAAAGACGTGTTCGGAATCTTTTTAATTTTTGGATCACTACAGACATGGCACAGGCATGCCATGATTCCATTAACATGTGTTCGACACGCGTGTCACATTATTAGGAAGTTTTAAGAAAGTTTTAAAAAGAAATATGGGTTATAATGTAAATATGATCACTTCTTTGAACATTAGCGGTCATGACATCAAATATTTATAAAAAATTATCTTAAAAATCAATTATTATTGTTGTGGAGTAGATTCAATTGTGTTGTTCTTAAAACAATACCCTAATTATTTTTATAAGTCATTAATTATTATTAAGATGTATTATGTGTTATCGTGTCCCTGCCCCGTATCCGTATCTGTGCTTCTTAGGATCTACAACTAACTTCCTTCTTAATGCAATGAAGGCAGATGAACCCTTTTCCTCTTCCTCTCTTCGCAATCAACATGAATTGTAACAAAAGTAGCAACAATGGTTATACCAGCAACTCCACCTGGTTCGACCTCAATTTCAACAAGCTGAAAATTCACTAAATCTCAAATTTGAAGTAGAGGCCCAATCAACTTCTACTACTTTTTCAAAGCTAAAAGGATGAGATGGTAGATCCCAAGGGAGGTAAATATATTATCCCTTTGGAATTATCCAAAAAGGTCAAGATCACTACTTTAGTGGGTAACTTTGTTGATTTGGAAATATTGTCTTTCCACTTAGTTAAATCATGGGCTATGAAGTTATCGGAAAATATTGAAGATGTTTTGGCAATTGAAAATAGATTTTATTTACAAATTTTCAAAATGAAGACAATTTTAAAAAAAAATCTAAAAAGGCCCTTACTATTTTGGTGGTAAGTTATTTCTTATCAGGAAATGGTTTCCGGGGATGCAATTATCGAAGTGCAAATTATCTAGCATACCAAAATGGGAAAATATTTAAAATGTGCCATAGAAATTGTTGATGGAATATGGACTTAGCTATGTGGCAAATTGTTTCTTGATGAGCACACTAGATTGAAAAGCACTCCTTCCCATTTGACAAGAGCCGCCAACTAGATGATTCACGAGTGCTAATATGATGTCAGCAGCCATCACCTGTAAGACTGTGTATGGCTTTGGGGTCGACCCCCGTAGGGCTCTGATGTAGGAAATCTACACAGCCAGCCACAAGTATCCGAAAGTGTGAGGATTCGAATTATTTGTTTTCAAAATGTGCTTATTGAGCAGCTGTTTGGGACTGGTTTATTACAATGTGGGAAGGACTTCAGCACCTTCAGTCCTTTAGTTTGGTTATCCAGTGGTTCATTTCTTTCTCCTCCAGTTCTGCTACAAGGAGGAGGGTCACTTGAAGGTTCTCACTTGTATTATTTGGTGCTTCATATGCTAGAGTGTGCGTAGAAGTAGAAGCCTCTAAAGAAATTTCAAACTCTTTCACTATTGATCTCACATATGGTATACCCTTTGACATAAAGGTATAGACTCCTTGGAAGCCTGAACAGAGCATAAAATGCAAAGGTTCTGGTCACTCTACCAATTTATGCCTTTCTCGTCCTAAACTTTCCAAAGCTAAGCGAGTTTGGAAAGTGAAGGATGTCAAACCCCACAACCACCCAAGCCTAAGGACACATGGGAAGAAGTTAAAGAGAAAGAAAGGAAAAGAGGTTGTGTGTCCTCTGTTAGAACATTTATGTATATATTTATATTGGGTCATATTGTAATTATGTATAGTTGGTAGGGCCAGTAGGTAATTAGCACATTCTTGTACATATATATGCTTTGTTTGTTCTAGGGTTTACAAGATATATGAAATAACACATTGTGCAGCCTCCATCTGTCTCTCTCTCTCTGCATCTTTCAGTCTTTACATGGTATCAGAGCTTCGATCTGAAGCTGTTTCCGTTGCGAGTTGTGTAGTCGGCGAAGGTGTGTGATAGCTTCAAGGGACCTTGGATCTGTGGTCAGCGGTAGCCCAAGCAAGCTCACCGACCCTCTGTTTGCTGTCGCTGGAGTTTTCATCGCCTTTTTTCCTTTGTTGTGTTGATTGGTTGGAGTTGAAGAGGAGTCGGGTGCCTGTAACCGAGAGATTTGGGGATCATCGTTCTTCCTGTGGTTAAGCTTTAGGGACTTGTTTGTGTAACTGCTATGGTCGCCGGTGTTTGCAAGATGCCAAGATGATTCAAAACTTTTTATTTTTCTTTTCCTAATAAGCAAGCTTTTATTAAACATCCAAAAAGGCTACCAAGGAGGAAACCCTCCAGAAAACAACACAATTAAAAACACCCATTTCCAGAAATTGGCAAGCAGGATCAGAAAGAAAAAAAACCCCACAAAGGGGAAGACAAAACAAACAGGACAGAGCAAGAAAACCCAAACAACCAACAAGCACTAGCCAACACAGCCACAACCCTCCAATGACTATAAGCTAAACATTCGCACCACATCATGAAGATTGATAGCCAGAGTGTCAACACATTCCAAATTTAATTTATTGTGATAGTGAGTCTCATTGGTTTCCTTGCTTATCATGAACCTAGTGGAAGGCATTAAAGAGCTATGGGGTTCTCTAATTATTTTGTTGATCATACTTTCATGGATGCAAAAGAGAAATATGATTGGCTTTGTATCTGATTTTGTCAATTTAGGACCCAATATAGTAGGTCGTTCCCAAACTTGGTTTACTAAAACTGGGTTTGCAGAGATCCAGTTCTGACTCAACCCGGTTCTGTAGATCCGTTTCTTTGGATTCGAACTGTTTTCTTTCTTAGATTCGACCTGTTTTGTTGAATCCAGCCCGAACGTTCTTGTGGATCCCGGCAGAGCCAGTTCCAAGCAGCATTTCTCTGCCTTCTC